GGATATAGTCAGGCTACAGTACATGTAGTCGTCGCTCTGTCCAATGATTCAAAGCTATGCCATACCTACAATTCTTGATCTGCTCTAACCTTAGCACTGTACGTGGAAGGCAAGGGCGCACTACGACTACACGATGTATAGTACCCCCATTTCACAGCCTAATACGGTATGCATCGTGATGAACTGGTGGTTGTACGGCGTAAGTTGGCCTGGTGCTGCAGCTCTATTAGTTAGCAGCTGAAATAAAGTAAGAGTTGTTTTATTCTGCTGAAATGCAGAACTTGTGTTTAGCGTTGTTTTATCTTCAATCGGGCTTATATTATTTTAAACGTCTGGTTGTTTAACGCAGTTAAACAACGGGCAAACTACATGAAAAACACAATACTTCTTACCGGTATTAATAGTACTCTGGGTACTATAATAAGCTTACAGCTATTACCGGTACTACTGTACTGGTAGTATGCGTATGATCTCGAAGCTATTCATCAGCAAACATGATTGGCTCTACGTAGCCAATCAATTCGTTCAGTACAATACATTGGTCAATTAAGCAAGGCCATTTGATTGGCTCATTAAATGTCCGGATAACGCATGCGGGCACTGAAACTTCAAAGTGATGGCCGAAAACGCTGCTGCGGCGCAACCAGTTGCCGCCACCACGCACACATCCAATGAGATCCGTGCGTCGCTTCAAGGCTGCATGATTCAGAACCAAGTCAACGTACGTGGGACACCTTCACGTATATGGCTTCGTCTCCTCGCTCTTTCATCGTGGCTGATGGTGGCTGGCGTTCCATAGTTTTGTGTCGGAGGTGTGGTTGCAGGGGTCCCTATCAGCATCTACAGCAAAAAGATGTATCCTTTTGCCGTCCTTGGTGTACTTGGTAGGCTTGCTTTGTTGTCTTCTATGTATCCTTCGTCATCTGACAGGGTTTTCTCTCTCCTAGGCTCGTTCATCGACTATTCGTTCCCATACGACTCGAAGTGTGTCGAACTCAAGCGTGCGCTGGACGCCGCCCTCGCTCGCGAAAAGGCCCAGTCCATTTCTTTTCCTGATTCTTCTTCATAGCGACTATCCGTAGCATTGAATCCATGTATGAACAAATTTGAAATGTTGGACGACTACATGGCCAACATATCGACATGTAGATGCTCAAAGCAGTAGGAGTTTGGGAGTGGATCCATGGCAATATTATTACATTGCGACTGTACGCGTTGAGTAGGTAGACTGAACCATGAATGGACGGACACTGGGCTGTAAACTCGGGATTACTGAACCGTGCCGTACAGTATTTTGCATACTAACGTCAGCGTAACCATTTCGTGAAGCGCTAACGTCTAAGCTTAAGCCTAACGTTACTGCAGCAGATCTACAGGTCATTGATTACTTGGAGGAGTATTTACTAAGCTTACGGATGGTTACAGTACCGTTACTTGTAGCTGTCCGAGTTTGCTGTTAACGTTAACGCGATAGTTACAGTTACTGTTACCATAGAATAGGACCTATTTAGGGCATTGCACTAATCAGGCTATTTGATTAAGAATGTTAGATGCAAAAAAAGCTGCAAAAAGGTGTACTTTTTCGCATTTCAAGAATAATCTGTATACAAGAACATGATATATTTCACTTTGACATTCTTAAAATAGCACCTCACCTCAATATATTATTATTATTACTTTTTGTACCAGTCAAAGTATTACGAATAAATCACCCCATCACTATTTGACCTTCGACCGATCCATCATCCATAAACGATGGCGGCTTCGGCGTTGGATTCCATCGATGGCTTGCGGGCACACCTCCCGGATGAGAACGTTCTGCGTGATTCGGACATGTCTGCCTCGTCCGGCGAAGGATCTCCCCGCCATGATGCTCAACATATCCCCGTGGCAGCACCGGACGCGCCGCCGGAACCGTCGAACCCGCGCGTTCGTTTCGCGCAGTCGCATGCCCCTCCCGCCGCACCTGTGCCCTTGCCAAGCGGCAACAGCGCAGCAGCGGGAAGTTCCCGTGCGAGCACGATGATTGCAATGTTGCAGCGGTATGGGTACGACTTGGAAGACCTAGATGAGACTTCTGGTGGCGACATCACCACAACCAATTCGGCAGGGATCCTCCTCCTCCGCGAGCGCAAGAACCACCAGACAGCATTCCACATCGCCGTGAAGAAAGGACACGTGGATGTGCTCAAGGCCCTCATGAAACTGCCGCGGGCCGAGGAGTTTGTCAACGTCGGCGACAAGCACGGCAACACGCCGTTGCACTTCGTCGCTTCGAAAGACGCTTCCGCTGCGGAATTGCAGACGTCCCTTGGCACGCTTCTCCTGTCGATGGGCGCGAACCTCCACGCGACCAACGTGCGCGGCCAGACGCCGCTGGAAGTGCACATCATGACGGCGAAGGCCGACACGTCAGTGTTTGTCAAGCTCATCTCGTTCCGTGGCATGCAGCTCAACAACTTAGTCGGCAACGGCACTACGTACCTCCACATGGCAATCGTGGACCGGTCGTTCCCCGATATGGCCGGCGCACTTGTCAACGCCGGCGCGTCCATCAACATCCCCGACCACTCGGGCGTGATGGTGTCGGACGCGATCTCAAGGCAAACCCTCGTGCGTCTCACTAAGTTTATGCGCGAAGGTACGCAGGCCCCCCCTGCGGACGTGCCGCGGCTGTCGTGCAAACTGTGCAAGAACCCTAAGTCCCTGCTGGATGCCCTTCGAGATTGCCACATCTGTGGCCGCTCCATGTGCCGCAACTGCTCGAAAAAGCTAGGAGATATCAAGGATCCTGACCAAGCGGCCAGAGAAAAGCTCGACAAGGAAGCGCTCGCCGTGCGATTGTGTGCGACCTGCTGCACTGTCACCCAGCTGCGAGACAAGAAGGTGGCCGAGCAAAAGAAGTTTGCCGAGTCGCTGTTTGGCATGAACAGAGTGTAGCGGAGGCTCTTACTAGTATAACGTTACTGGTAATATATGCACGGCCAAGGATTAATACTACTGACACTGTAATTATGCTCAGAGCATCTCGAGAGTAGTTCGTGCTTTTGTCCATATACCATCATAACGTTACTAATATAACAATTTGACTGTGAATCTAACACTACGTTACTGCTATTAATAGTACTACCTAGTACGTAGTAATAGTACTATTAATAGTAGTACTATAGTACTTCGACCGTTTTGAAATATGTGAATCGGATTGGCTAAAGATTGGTGATAAATGAAGTACTACTGTAGTACTTCGAAGTAATACCAACATTCAGGTCTTTACAAAACCCAAGTGTAATGAATAATTACGCTTCGGTTGTTTTCAGTCGATGAATGCTTTTCACCATGCTGAGATGGTGGGATGAGCATCATCTATACATGCCTCAATTGTCCTGCCCACAGAGCTATGCCATTCCTTCTCATTGGAAGGAATTGTCTTGCACTTTGTTTAGGTAGGCCGTGACTAGTAGCTACTAGTAACTACTCGAAATAGTATCTCCGTCAGTGCTGAAAATATAATATATATATATATATATATATATAATACGCTTCTGATCGTTGATACTAAGTACTACTTCATTAGAGACATTTAGCAAACCGAGACTAGTAGCTACTAGTAACTACTCGAAATAGTATCTCCGTCAGTGCTGAAAATATTATATATATATATATATAATACGCTTCTGATCGTTGATACTACATTTAACGTTACCCCTGTTTATAGGCCAATCAGAAACTTCAATCGCTTTTCGAACCGAGCTGTCAACAAACAGAATGCGATGAGGCAGGCAGGCGTTCAAGTACACGTTGAAGATATTACTAGTATTGAAGTTCAGGACAACCATGGGAACGACACTCAGGCAGCTTCGAGCCGTTGTGAACGAGCTCGACGTCCCCACGGTCGTGTGCAGTTGCTCCAGCAAAGTGAACCCTACCCCGGGTGTGACGACGTTTCAGTGAACGTGTTTGGCCAAGACGATGTGCGGATCCCGCTACACTGCGTGGAACGCGTGAGAGGATGCCTTGGGTTGTCAAATATCCTCTTTCCATTATACACGAATGCACCGTGAGGTGTTTTGAGTCCGCGTTCATTCGAGGTTGTGGCAACTTCGACGAATTTTGTCCGAAGGGTTCCACGACGTGTTATCAAGATGGGGATCCCAACAAAGAAGCCTACGCCATCTACAGTCCATTTGAGGATACGCCTGGAAGAATTCCTCCGCCCATACTGCCCGATGGAAGCCGTCATAGAATGCGAGAATGGGTCACATTCGTTGTTGAGGTTGGACGATTTCAATCGTGGCCCAGCTTGGAACGTAAAGCACGCCATTGGCTTGCCTACGAGGGGATTCAATATGTGCTCGTGATCAAAGTAAGTCAAGACGCTCGATACATGCGGTACCGTCTGTACGACATTCAAGGCGACGCTGGCCCACGTCAACTGCCATCTCTAGCGGCGGCGGGCGACTTTACATACCAAGAACACGTCGCTGCCCCCATCAATATCACGTTGGACAATCGCAACCAGCCGCGAATCTCCCCCATGGTGTGAATGACCATACAGTCATCGACTTGCGAGCTGTAATGCGCAGAGTTATCCGCTCGATTCAATGAGTTGCCTTGAATCAAGTGATAATCGAAATGCACTACCATTGATATCATTGATACTACGTAGTATAACGTTAATTTGATTATCACGGTTCATGCCATAGAGCGTCTGGAGGCGGGGCCTTCTCGGACAGAGGTAGTGCATACGAAGCCAAACTTTCGACTGGTGTTCGTAGCCCGCAACAATATTCGCACTCATGAACGTCTTTCATCATCGCTTGGCAAAGTCCGACGAAGGGAGAAGGGGACAAGCGCTGCTACCTCCATCTCGAGATTAAAAGTATGGCCTACTCCTCCATTGAAAATGCCAACGCTGCCTCAGAGTGCTCGTGCCAAATGCATGTCGACGCAGCGTAACTTCAGGGTGAAAACCCTAGGTATCGAATGACGAGATCCAAGATGAAGGCCCTAGCACTCACGACAATGCTGGAGCCTTTCAACAACACGGAACTAAATATTGTTTACTCATAACGTTCTGGTCAAAAACGAACACTGCATGCTCTCTCACTATGCATTATTGTGCGTATATATTACAGTACTCGAAATACTCCTGCGCTTGACTGACAGTGATTACAATCGCGATATAATACCACGTACTCACAGTTAAGAGTTAGCAAATACTAGTATGTTTCAAATGATGTCGATTTTTGATGCAAAGCAAGTAAATAGCAGGAGGTGGATAGGTTTTTTTTACTTGTCTACATCATAGATATGAGTCGACGTGAATCCTCTACGCATCTTACACCTTGTAGCTCAAGTTGTTCTATTCTAGTATGTAAGGTGGTGCAGATGAACAGAGAACGGAGTAGGAACTCGCGCACAGTGGTAATTTGAAATATATGGGGAATTGTATGCGAATGCGCAAGTTGTGCTTCCGAGTACGAATTATAATTTTGCAATCAGATCAATCTGATTAATTTTATTATATCCAATCATACAATTTACAAACTTTTTATGAGCATACTATTGGTTAAACTAGAAAATATGAAAAAAATACTATTGGTTGACGTCGGAATTATGAATGCTCCATGGAAAAAAATAGTGTCGATACCACTGTGCGCGAGTTCCTACTCGGTTCTCTGTACTATTAATAGCTATGCAGTATTGTGCTTTTCACATATTTTGGCTAATCTGGGTACTACTCTGGTCCACAAAAAGAGTCACATTATTTGTCTTGATTAAAGTATGAGGAGGAGGCCAAAAATATCTTGAAGTTTGTATTGAACTCTGACATTG